GCACACAGTCAAGAGGGAAGCGCCAGCAGCAGCAGCAGCAGCAGCAGCAGCAGCAGCAGCAGCAGCAGCAGGGAAGGACCCTTGAGGAGGAGCTTGTGGAGGCCCTTGCTGCTAGCAGCGAAAGCAGCTTGCCTACCCCACGCATGCTGCTTCCTGCTGCGGCGTCTGCTGCTGCTGTTCCAGCTGCTGCTGCTGCAGCAGCAGCTGCTGCTGCTGCACCTGCTGCTGCTCCCTCTGCTGTTGCGAATTCTCCCTTGAGCTCCGCGGCCGCCGACAGCAGCAGCAGCAGCAGCAGCAGCAAGAACAGCAACAGCAGCAGCAGCATAGTTTGGTGCAGCAGCGCAACGGAACCAATAGAAAGTGCCCCAAAGTGGAGAAGGCGTCTGCAGCGGCTGCTGCTGCTGCTGCTGCTGCTGCTGCTGCCGCTGCTGCTGTTTGCTGTGGAGGGCTTCGAGCTGTGGCAGGGGGAGCGCAGCGCAGCAAAGTCTATGCTGTGCAAAGTGCTGCTGCAGTGGGTCGGCAGCAGCAGCAGCAGCAGCAGCAGCAGCAGCAAATTGGTGGTTCCTCTGTCTGTTTCTTGGGGGCCCCCGGGGCCCCCGGGGCCCTGGGGGCCCCTGGGGGCCCCCCAGATCCAGGGGCTGCTGCTAAGTGCTGCTGCTGCATGCGAGCAGCAGCAAGAAGCAGCAGCAGCAGAAGGCGAGGCGTCCCTTGACCGCTTTATTGAGGCCTTCGCTCATGCAGCTACTGGCGACGTCAGCGAACCTAGCTAGCTAGCTAGCTAGCTAGCTGGCTAGCTAGCTAGCTAGCTGGCTAGCTGGCTAGCTAGCTGGCTAGCTAGCCAGCTAGGCGCAGCCATTTAGCTAGCCAGAAGCAGCTAGCTAGGTGGCTAAGCGCAGCTTGCTGGCTAGCCAGCGGCAGCTAGCCAGGTAGCTAGGCGCAGCTAGCTAGCTACTGCTTAGCTAGCCAGCTAGCCAATCAGTTCAGCAGCTAGCTTATCACCAAGCTGGGCCTGCGGGAGCCTAGCTAGCTAGCCAGTAAGCTGCTGGCTAGGACAGAGCCCCGCCGTTGGCTAGCCAGCCAGCCGGCCAGCTAGCTAGCCGGCTAGCTAGGCAGTAGGCTAGCTAGCTAGCCACCTAGCTAGCTAGCTAGCCGGCTTTTGGCTCGAATCTTTTTTCTGTTATGAACAGCAGCAGCCTTTGGAAGCAGCTTGTCTTGAGAAAAGCGAAAAGGGAATTCTTTTTATTTATTTCGTTTTGCTGCAGCCTGCGGCTTCTGCATTAGCTAGCCATGGCTAGCTAGCTAGCCATGGCTAGCTAGCTAGCCATGGCTAGCTAGCCATAGCTAGCTAGCTAGCTGTAGCTAGCTAGCTAGCCGTAGCTAGCTAGCTAGCCAGCCATAGCTAGCTAGCCAGCCATAGCTAGCTAGCTAGCCATAGCTAGCCAGTTTTACTTCGTTGCCGTGCCTAGAAGTTTACTTGCAGCAGCGGCGCAGAGTCAAAAGAAGCAGCAGCTGATTAGAATTGTAATTATTGTTTATTTATTTATTTTAAATTATAATTAAAATTATTGTTTAATTATTTATTCAACTTTAAATTAAAATTAATATTATCATTTGATTCTTTATTTACTTTTAAAAGAAGTTTCCTCAGAAACTTTAGCTGTCTGAGCGCCCCCAAGGCAATTAGAAGAAAATAAGTTTCGATTTAAAATAAAAATAAGAAATAAATGCTTTTAATGTTTCTTTTGCATTTAAATTCATTTAAATTATATTTAAATTCATTTAAATTGCATTTAAATTCATTTAAATTGCAATTAAATGAATTTAAGTTCGTAAATTTAAGTAAATTTAATTATTTAAATTCATTTAAATTACATTTAAATTCATTTAAATTGCATTTAAATTCATTTAAATTGCATTTAAATTCATTTAAATTGCATTTAAATGAATTTAAGTTGCATTTAAATTCATTTAAATTATATTTAAATTCATTTAAATTACATTTAAATTCATTTAAATTGCATTTAAATTCATTTAAATTGCATTTAAATTCATTTAAATTATATTTAAATTCATTTAAATTGCATTTAAATTCATTTAAATTAT